GCCGCCTGAGCTCCCCAGGCCCGGAGGCCGGAGGAAACGGTCCCCTCGGCTCATAAGGAACCGGTGTGGCTGACGCCGGCACTCACACGGGCGTGTGCATGTGTGCGCGCACGCACGTGTGCGCTCGGGAGGAGGGGAGCGGGCTTCAGGAGACGAGTAGAAGACAAAACTGCCCCGAGTTCGCGCGGCCGCCTCCTTTGTCTCCCGGCTCGGTCCCGTCCCTGCCGCACACACGCGGTGGAGGTCGTGCGCGCGCGTGCGCGCACACACACACACGCGCGCACACACACGCACACACACACACACGCACACACACGCACACACACTTTCTCTCGCATCTGCTCTCAGGCAGCATTTCCAATGTTTTGTGTAAGTCAATTGGACAGCGAACAAAAAAAGCCATTTGCTCGGTATTATTTAAAACAGACTTCATAGGGCCACCCTTTTGTGGAAGCTTTATTTGCACNACGCGCACACACTTTCTCTCGCATCTGCTCTCAGGCAGCATTTCCAATGTTTTGTGTAAGTCAATTGGACAGCGAACAAAAAAAGCCATTTGCTCGGTATTATTTAAAACAGACTTCATAGGGCCACCCTTTTGTGGAAGCTTTATTTGCACTAAATGAATAATCTTAATTGCATCACTCTCGAATTAAAAATCAATGTTAATCAAGTTGAGAGTAGTAAATATCAGTTTTCATTGTGTCTGGGTAGAGGGCATTTTTCTTGTGTTGCAAATAAAAATACAAGTCAAATAACTTTAAAAGGGCATTATGTTCTGCTACAAATACAATTGAAACGGATTGTTTAGGAGCAGATCAGAAATGGTACAGAATTTTGCACTTAATTTCCTCAGTTATCATTTACAATAAGAACCTCTGGGCTTGACAGCCAAGTCTAAACAGTAGTAAATTAGTACAAATTTATACTGATTTTACTCTAATAATCGTAATAAAAGCTTATAGATTTGGCACTAATTACATAAATGCCTAATGATCTTGAAAATTACTCTGGTTAGAAATATATTACTAATCTAAACTTTGTTGTTGGCTGGCTCTGAAAAATCAGAACATTAGAAATGGTTCGCTTCACTTGTGCAAAGCACTTAAAATTGTTCAAGTAGTTTAACATATTCAAGAGGAAAATAAAGAGCATTTAACTTTATTTACAGCCTTAAGTGGAGTTGAGAGCCGAGCAGAACTTAGAAACTTTGACCAAAGGAGCGGGCTGTGGGCTAGGACGCGTGCGCCCGGCGGAGGAGAGGGCGCGGGGCGGGAAGGGTGCAGCGCGCGAATCCACGCTGCGCGTGGGCCCCGGAAGCGCCCGGGAAGTCGACTGCATTGTTGCGCTCCAGGCCTGCCGAGGCTCCGGGTCCCAGTCAGGGCGTCCGGCCCCTAGGCCCAGGCCTGCTGGGTGGCAGCCAGGTCTGCGCACGGTCTGGAGGCCGCGGGGTGCCCTGCGCTCTGGGCTGGCAGCCCCGCGCGGCC